TTGAACTGCCAGCCTTCTGGTTAGCAGTCAAACGCCTTAGGCACTACACCGCCAGAGCTCCCAAAAATGCAAGAAAATTGACAATTAGGCACTTTTTCAAGTTTTAACTGAGGAATTACCTCCTCTAGGAAATTTCTTTGATTGCTCCTTGCATCCTGTGTATTTTGTCTTTGTCTCAACAATTTACAAGTGAATTCCTTAAAAACAGGGATTTTGTGTTCTATCTCTGTTCCTAGGCACTTTACATAATAGTAGGAATATGCAGAATGAACTAACAACTGAATAAACAAATTAGCTAACTAAAATGTATCAATAATTGAGTTCCCACCAAAGCATTTGCCTACAAAATGACTAATACAGTCATATTTTTACTGGCAAAAAACAGAAATGAGGTAGGCAGTGGCTAGTGAGTACATTAACCCTGCATTGTACGGAGGGCATTAGGGTTCTATCCTTTCACCATACTTATTCAATCTGTATGTTGAGCAAATAATCTAATGCTGAACTATATGAAGAAGAATTTGGCCTCAGGATTGGAGGAAGACTCATTAACAACCTGCAATATGCAGATGATACAACCTTGCTTGCTGAAAATGAAGATGATGAACATTAAAGACCACAGTCTGCAGTATGGATTACACCTCAATGTAAAGAAAACAAATATCCTCACAACTGGACCAATATGCAGCATCACTATAAATGGAGAAAACATTGAAGTTGTCAAAGATTTCATACTACTTGGTTCCATGATCAACACCAATGTAAGCAGCAGCCAAGAAATCAGACAACATACTGCACTTGGCAAATCTGCCGCAAATCTTTAAAGTGTTGAATAGCAAAGATGTCACTTTGATGACCAAGGTATGCCTAACCCAAGCCATGATGTTTTCAATCACCTCATATGCAAGTGAAACCTAGACAATGAATAAGGAAGACTGAAGAAGAGTTCATGCTTTTGAATTGTGGTGTTGGCGAAGAATACTGAAAATACCACGGACTGCCAGAAGAACTAACAAATCTGTCCTGGAAGAAGTGCAGCCAGAATGCTCCTTGGAAGTGAGAATGGCCAGACTTCATCTCCCCTACTTTGGTCATGTTGTTAGAAGGGACCATTCCCTGGAGAAGGATATCATACTTGGTAAAGTGGAGGGTCAACAAAAAGAAGAAGACTCTCAAGAAGATAGACTGACACAGTGGCTACAATGATGGGCTCAGCGTGGCAAGGATTCTAAGAATGGTGCAGGACTGGGCAGTGTTTTGTTCTGTTGTACATAGGGTCACTATGAGTTGGAGCTAAGTCTGTGGCACCTAACAACAACAAATATGAATCCTAACCCCTATAC